TTTTAATCAAATTCAAGTTAAGTTAATTTATAAATAATTAAATAATAAATATAATAAAAAAAAATTATTATTGATATTACATAACCATTTATTAGAATAGGAAATTACAAATATAGTTAAATTAATTTCTCGTTCCGTTAACCAGAATTCTTCAAAAAAAAATAACTTGATTAAATACATATAGATATAGCAATATGCAATAGCCAATAGCCAATTATATTATAACATAGAGGTGTATCGTATATATAAAGATATACCGTACCATACAGCGGCATACGGGCATATTGTAATAATAATAATTAATAAATACTAATAACTAATAAGTAATAAGTAATATGATAAACCTATTATCTTATTATTTTGATATAGATACAAATCAAAAATGTACAATTCTGAAGAACATAATGTAAAATATTTTCTGCATAAATAGGTTATTTTTAATTAAAACTAATTGGTTTGTGCCCATGTACATTTATATTTCAAATGTTTATATTTATATACAGTCAATATTGTCAGTAGACAAAATATTCATAGCCCACATGGGTTCACTTTTCGTTCTCGGCTCTATCAGCACGCAACACACGATTTCGGATATACAATACCGCGTTTCAGTGATTTGTGTGAATTGTGTACCTACTATATAATAATTATGAGTAGGTATAATTATTCTATTAATTCAGTACCTACCTATGTATAGAAAAGCTATTGGCTATTTCATGTGTTCAATAATATTTATGATTTTTATTATTTTAAACCATATTACTGGGTGTTTATATAGATACAGTAGAACTTCCATGTAACGGTCACCAAAGGGTCTGTAAATAATGACCGCTAGGCGCTATTTAGAGGTGACCGTCCTACAGATGTAGGCTAACACTCGACGGGACCAAAAAAATTGACCATTACATAGAGGTGACCGTTTACAAAAGTTTTACTGTATTATGAAAAAAAAAAATTAACTTAACTTAACTTAAGTTAATAAGTTAATTGAAAATGTTCATATAACTTTTAACTTAACTGAGTTAAAAAAAAAATTAGGTTAACTGTTAACTTTAAACTTTTTAAAATGTTTTCCATTAACTTAACTTAACTCAGTTAAAAATTTTCATTAACTTGCCCAGGCTTGCAGTGTGCACTGTTACTATGACTCCGCTCATCATCTAACTGTTAAAAATTAATATAAATATAAAAACATTAGTTCAAAACTAATTATTTTATGGAGGTATCTCCTACTCGTCAATTTTTGTGTAAAATAATTATTTTGGCTGAAAGTATTTATGTTCAAAAAAAAATTACACTTGTTTATTATTATTATTTAATTTTTTTTTTAATGTTTTCAAACAGGACAGACGGACCAGAATTGGCTAGAATTTTCTACTCGGCGATCGGCAACTTTGTCGAAGCCGTTCCCATTTTCCCGGTCACGTTCAACGTACCCGACATGGTGACCGCTTTCGGTGGCTTGCTGTCGGGCATGTTCAATTACATTACCGGCAACGACAGCGGCGGAGGGTCACAACCCAAAGACGTCTTCGGAGCCATGCTCAACATCTACAGGCACATAGCCGTACAAGAAGACATTCATGATTTTGAGTTCATGACGTAAAATACAACTTAGCAAAATAGAGATGTACCTACCCAATTTGATAGTCTACATCGATAGGAGGAGGAGGGGAGTTAAAAGTCGTCGTCGTTAATTTTTCGTTTTCTTTTTTCTTTTAAGCGCATCACTGCAGTAGGTATGTCACTATACTTTATTGTCGTATAAAACTCACATTAAAATTTAAATGAAGTGAAACGTATTCTGCCGACTAATTATTCGGCACATCTTCTAACGACACTGTAAAAAAATTGTCCACCGACTACATATTGGGGTATACAATACCGCCCACTGTGTTATGTATAATATTTAGTATTAAAATTTTACTCCCACCTTGAAATCGAGTAGGTGCGAAATTTTAATCACAAGGAAGCACCTACTATTGCACACCTATAGGTACATACTTAGTACCTGTATATTTAAAACAAGATTTCTTATAACTGCGTTGTTAGCATAATGTATTTTAAATCTGATTAGTATCTACTAATATCCCGATTGGTATGTTTCACTTACTTTCTCGTGCTGAAGATGTATATTTTTAGATCAACTTTTTAATTATTTATTATTATTATAATAATAGCCAGTAGGTATAGCCGGTAGGTTTGTCTACCGACTGCCATGCCGGTCGACATGAACGATACATATTCAAAACAACATATTTAAACTGAAGAAATAAACAAATCATTTTGTACATAGAATTGTCATGCAAAAATATTGTATAGGTACCAATGTTTTTCAATTTTGATACGAGTGTTAGAAATTATAATATACTATAACATATGCTATAATTATATGCATTACTTTTGGTCAATTGACTTCAGACCAATTTAGTGTTTTTTTTATACAACTAGTAGGTAACGGTAATGACTGGTTTTGTGTTAATGGAACATTATAATATTATGTTTGAAAACACTAAAATTAGTAATAGAAACTACATTTTTTTGTCAAATATAAACACATGGACTGGTCGTATTTAAAGTAAAGTCGAGTACCTAGGTATGTTTCAAATTATTATTAATTTCACTAAATATTATGGTTTTTCATCGTTGTAATATTATAACAATATGGTACCTTAATTATAACACGTACAACTGTACAAGATAAACTTAGATTGATTTGAATTATTGTAATTAAGATTTAAGAATATCTAATTTCAGCACTCGCCGAAATTTCAGTAAAATTTAAACATGCTTTTAGTGTACTGTGAACGTAAGAACCAAATACATGGGTAACCATTTATTATAACTATTGCAATTTGTATGAAAGTTGCTACAAAAGTCTAAAATGTAATTTACCCACTGCATCGGCATATCAAACTTATTCGAAATTCTGTATAGTTAAACCTACCCCCCCCCCCCCCATAACTAGTATTATTAGCCCATCCTCCAAATATTAAAATTCTGGGTACTTCACGTCTCTACTGATTACTGAAACACATTTAGTACCTATATTTTATTTTGAGGTAGGGCTCGACACGTCGACTTTACGCGACTTCGTTTGTATAGGATTTTGCACAAATTTGTAAGAGACAAAGAAAACGTAGATATTACTAATTGTACAAATACTAATAAGTGTTAAGTATATCTTAGGTTATCGTGGTATGTGACTATAGTGTATAATGTAGGTGGTATGGAATATATTTTGTAAATATAGGTAATTTAAAAGATATGACATTTATTAAACCAATAAATCTAAATATTGTATAAGATTATTTTAAATGTAGGTATGTTATGAAGACAATAATTTTTTGATGTATAAATATTAAAATATGACAATATGTATTTATTTTTAAGTGACTAGATCATTTATTTATTTATTTATTTATTTATTTATTCAACACAAATATTCAAATTACTTTACTGATTTATTATTGTTCGACCATGAAAAAATGTTGTAAATTAGACTAATTAACTAGGTACTAGTTTATGAGTTATTATTAATTTAACTGTATGTACTATATTATTATCCTATTAGGGGATGTATTCATGGGATCTATGATGATTTGAGTATTTTAGTACCTAATTAATAGTTTTAACTTTTATGTATCAACATTCACATTTTATAATTTGTAAAAATGGTCCGAGTATAATAAACGCTAAATCCAAGATGATATATATTTTTTATTTTTGTAACACGATTTGTAATACCTACCTTCTATCCTTAGGTTCTGGCTTTTAATAACTAAGAAACTATACGTGTTAAAATGTTGATTTAGATGCGTAAAAACTTTAAAAATAAAATCTTGAGCCTAACAATTAGGTTCTGTAAAAAATGTGGTTATCATTTGAAAAAAATAAGTTGGTCTGTATCGCCAAAGTCCCGTGGGACACTTCGACTTCTTAAATGGTACAAAAATCGGAATAATTTAAAATATGAGTCCTTAAGAGGACGTGATACCCGCATGTGTTGTCTCTGTCTTACAAGTGCATATTCGTAGCAAATTTTAAGCAAAAGCAGAACACGTGTAGCTCCGTTAGTTTAAAAATTAGAGTGAATTCAAATGTTATAAAATCTAAAGGTAAGATTATTATCTAGACAACCTCATGAACTTTTTATTATATTTAAATTTTTAAGCGAGTTATAAGTACTTAAAAATGTACAAACAATTTACAATTTTAAAATACTCATAGCTCGCTTTGAAATCAAAATATAATACAAAGCTCATGAGATTGTCTAGATAATAATCTTACATTTAGATTTTATAAGAGGTCAATTTACTCTAATTTTTAAGCTAACGGAGCTACACGTGTTCTGCTTTGGGTAGAATTTGGTATGTTAAGCACTTGTAAGACGGAGACAACACATGCGGGTATCACGTCCTCTTAAGAATTAAGACTAAACTAAAGACTTATGTCTTAATATGTTTAATAGGTATATTAGTTATATGATCTAAGGTCCTAATTCCTATTCTATTTGAGTTTTAAAATTTAAATCAAGAGCTTATCAATTTTTGATAAATGATAACAGTATTAAAGATAAGAGTGAACATTTATTATCTTTAGGTTAGAATATAATTGGTGACACTGAATCAATTATCAATGTTATTTTTTTACAATCACTTTTTAGTTTTTAGTTTAAGAAAAATAAAAAGTGAAAATCAGTAAAACACAGAATTTAAAAAGCTTTATGATTAAAATTTAAAGTAACGGTAATAAAATATCAAATATCAAATATTCAACACCTATTTAATCAATGAAAATAGTACTTGGAATTTAGGTTACGTCTTACGTCATAATAACTACCAAGTCCTAAAACCTCAACAACTTAAAATCTATCTACAATTTTTCGAAACATAAAAGTGGACGTAAAATTAAGTGAGTACCTATTTGAGTTTTTGTTTTGTCTTAAAATAAACATTGTATGGTTTATTATATTTATATGGTTTTAATTTGCTAGTATAATGTCACTTGTGGCATACGGAGACAGTGATTGCGATTCGGATGAAGATAATGGTGAAGTAATAGTGCCATCACCCAATGTTGTAAAAGTAACTACAAAAACAATAATTGGTAGTAAGCCATTTTTAACGCTGCCTAAACCCAAATCTATTGAAAACTCAAAAACAATAGATGATTATGATTCAGTTGACAAAGAAAAACCAGTGGTACAAACAAAACTTCCAATTGTCAATAGCGTTCAAGAGAAAAAAGAAATCCCTTTATTCCCCACATTACCTAAACCTAAAACCGGAGGAAAAGTCAAAATAATAATTCCTTCATTAAATGAAGTACCTATTCTTGTTTTAAAATTTCACTAAACTAGTTGATATGATTATAATTAATCTTTAATTTTTGTAGTTTTATGATGAAGATGACGATTATCAACCAAAATGTAAAATTATCAAACCTTCAAATGTAAGTTAAAATTGCTTATGTATTACATGGTTACAAGCAGTAATATCTAAAACTTTAAATCTCAACAATTATACATATAATGCATATTTTTGTTGGTAATGGTTTTAATAATTACATATTAATTCTGATTTTTGAAATCATATATTCCTGATAAACATATTCTCGGCACCTATTTTAATTTTAATTTAATTTTTCATTGTAACATCTTATTTTTTTATATCTATGATAAAATACACATATTTTACATATAAATATTTAAATATTATCCAATTCATACTCCAGTTTTTAAATTATGTAAGGATAACCTCTAAAAATAATAAAAAGATATTGTTTCATATTTTTTATGCTAATACATTTAGTTTCTAATAGGTATTCTTTTGAATAAAATAAATTGTGAAAATGTTGCAAACCTTCGCAAAAAGTCATTGCTTTACCAAAATTTGAAATTATCGAAGTAAAATATTGTATGTTTCAATATTTTTACAACGTTCACTATAATATTGTTATGAATTAGTCTTACACTATTTCATTTTCAAATTCTATTTAAATTTGTTTTATGGTTTCGCAGAGCGGATGCGGCTTATTCTCCATGTTGCCTGATCCCAAAAATAAAAAAACGAGCAAAGCTTCAACTACTATATCAATGGTTCCTAGAGCGACAATGAGGAATGTTAAAAATCTTAAGGAAAATCCTAAACCCAAAACATTAGAAATTAAGTGTTTTGATACTAAACCAATTGAAGTTGAAGATGAAGCCGATGATGATGATCAAGGAGATGGCGATTTCTTAGGATTGAACAAAATAAATGAAGTACTTGATGTAGAGCCTATTGCTGGGTTTGATTTACCTGAAATACAAACTAATACAACTATAATTGAAGAGGACAGAGTTTATGGACCAGTGTATTGTTCTGAACCCAACAAATCCGACCTTTATGAAGAGGATGAAACAAAACTAATTCTTGACTCAAATGCTGTATGTTTAATGATTATAAAATTCTTATAAAAATGAATATTTAAATAAGCATTTCTGTAAACATATTACGTTTTATTTTATTTTTTATTACAGTTAAAACAACTTAGTGATCCTAGCAAGACTCAAATAAAACAAGTTGACGTAATAAATGTGGATATGCGTCAAGTGATGGAAGAGTCTCAACAGTGGTTACAAAAGAACATAACAGAGGAATATGCTGAAAGTAAAAATATCAGTAGTGATATTAATATAAGTGGGCAATCAAAACGCAAACACCAGATAACATATTTAGCTCAACAGGTAATGATGAAAAAAAAATGGTGTATATTACTTTAAGTATATATTACCCCCATTGTCCCATTCTAAATTAAATATTAATATTTAATATAATTTATAAATGTTTACAGGCTAAAGCCAATGAGTTGAAACTTAAAAACATGTGGGCTGAGAATAGAATGACCAGGAAGCAAACACAAGCTAAATATGGATTTTAATTGCTAAAAAAAAGGTTTGTTACTTCTTAAAAAAAAATAAGTTTAGGTTATTGGAATAACTCTTAGTGTACATATTAATTACAAATACAAATTATACAACGAACATAAAACATTTAAATAAAGTTATTATTAATATGTACTCATATATTTATACATATTTGTATTTTTTTATTTAATTTACAATCATAATTATACATTCTACACTCTCGGAGTAACAAGCACAAATAATTAAATTCTTAAATATAAATAAACATGGTTAGAGGATAAATCCAATAGTATCACTCTGTGTACTGTTTTATAATTAAATTTCCTGAAACTTAGCACTGTTATATAGCATTTTTATAACACAAATAAAATATATGTTGTTAAAATAAATTAGATATAACTTTGTTATTATTATTGTATAAAAAAAAATGGAATTTATTTGAGGTGTTTTATAATCTTAAAATCAACTTTTCAATCATAAATATGAGAACTTCTATTTTTATTTTTCAAATTATTGTCTAAAAATTATTGTATTAAATATTATAAATAAATAAAGCATAAAATTAAGATTAAAATTTAAATGCATCTGATATAATAAGGAAACAAATATCAATAGACGGAAAGAGATCAATGAGTCTTAAACAGATCTTTGTCGAATTTTGAAAGTATAAAAATGTTATACCTAAATCAAAATTAATTTGAGTAAAATATGTTTATTAGAAATATTTTAATGTCTTTGAAAAGACTAAAATCCTAGTGTTATTAATAAGCTTAATAATTGAGGACTGACAATAATTTTATAAGTATAGGTAGTCAACTATATTGTATTTATATTTTTAAGTGTCTGATGTAATACATCAAATAACAATTTTGAGTTTTTCAAATACCTACTATGGTTATATGGTTGGTTAGGTAGTATATTTATGTTAATCTACTAATATAAGTATTATTAGTTATTACTTCTATATTTACAACTTTTATTTTCATTTACTACCACAATATTTTCTTATAATTAAAAATAGAGGTAAAAACTTTTTTTGTTATTTTTAAATATTTATAATTTGATTAATATGAAAAATATTATATGGTTTTAATAGAAATCCTTAGTTTATATTTTAACTTTTAATGAAAACTTTTTATAAGCCTAAATCTTAACTGCACTACTATAACTGGTTTTGATTGATATGAAAGAAAAATTGTTTTTAAAGAAGAGTGGATATTTATGAAAGGACATAAGGAATATTTTGTGAATTAATTGTTTTGCATTATATGTATAAAATATTAACCTTAAAGATAATAATTTATAATAAATGCAAAAAATTGAAATCTAGAACCGGTTAAAAAAATAAAAAAAACCAAGAAACTAGTTTTATGTATTTAAGTATCAACAATGAAAATTTGACTAGCATTAATAATAGAACAAATTAATATTGATCAATTATTAATTTCATTGTTTAAACAAGATTCTCTGTTCGGTATAAATAATAATTAATCAATATTTCTTCAACAAGTATTCTCCTCGTAGTGTCATGGCAATTGCTCCTATCGGTGCAGTGATCAATATTGCTAACACACTGATAGCCAATACATCAGATGCATATGGGATTAAGCGTTCATCACGACTGCGTGCCATATCCAATGCGATTGGCCCAATCGCTGCCTGTTCAAAATAAATCATACGTAAAATTATTATTTGTCAAAGTAGTATTGCCTTAATAGAGAATTATTATCTTTCAAAAATTAATTTAGTGCATTGTTAATAACTGAGGACAGTATCTAAAAAAGTTAATAATTTAGGGCATATTTTTGTTAATCCTAATATTATTATTATTTCGTAATCATTGGTCGTAGATGAATTTCAAACAACTATGTAGGTAGGTAGGTTGTATAACTATAATATCTTACTTGAACTGTTGCTTTTGGTAACCACGCAATATTAACAAATATTTTCTCGCGTAAATTGAAATTTGTATCCTTTAAGACGAAGAAACAAGTGGCCACTCTTACCTGAAAGAAATGAAAATAATAATAAAATAATATCAACCGTTGTAACTATTAAAATTTAAATGTGTTAAACATAGAACCATTATATTATAGATATTATAAAATTATAAAATAATGAAAATATAGACACATAATGTATTAATAATTCATATAATATTATAGGTATAGTCTTCAATATTGCTACGAATTAACGAGTCATCGAGTCCCTACTAGATACTAGGTATCAAAAACATTTGAACCATTGATTTTTTTTTTTGTATTCAGTGGCCTGTGGCCATATGAAATAAGCATCGATAAAAATTAATCGCGTATAGTAGACGACAGTGATTAATATAACATTAAACAGATTAATCGAAAAAATGTGAGTTAGTATGCGGCATACCTATAATATTATATTAATTAATGTCGTTCTAGTAGTGTCACGAGTTTTGGATTTTCCTTTTGTAAATTGTAATGGATGTTAAATGGTTTTGAAACAAAAAGGTAAAACTCTCGAAAATATTATACTATAATAATTTTACTCAAAGATTACTCAAAAATCTAAAATGATTTTACACTAGTGAGTAGTGCGTGGGCTCAAGAAGGAAAATAAATGCTGCGCTGACATGCATTTACGTCATCACGGTCCACTACACAAAAAATTATTACTCGACACATTCGCACGAACTTGAAGAAACATTGACTGTCGGTAACCCCAGTAAATGCATGTATTAAAAACTTTTCCGAGCACTCACCAATGACGTGATGATCAACAGGACGGTCGCCGACGTGATTAACGTCGGTCTTATGCTGCTCAAGTCAATTTCCGTGCCGATCGAGGCGAACAGCATAGGCTCCAAAAAGTCCCACACGTTGTTCGTCGCCATTTCCACGTTATCCTACGACGATAAAACATTTTTATTATTATTATCATTATAAAATGTACATTCAATCAATCTTGCGCCTCCCCCCCCCCCCCCCCCCCCCCGTCGAATGTCAGATTGATTTAGGAATTTTGCCCGATGCTGAACCCCCTTCAGTTTAAATTATCTCATCACTCACGCTAAAACAATCGTTTTTTTTCCAGCAGATTGCCGAGACAAACGCCGCCGTCATGATCGCCAGAGGACCGGCTCCCGGTATGTCGATCATTTTTGACGCAAACGTGAGCAATACTCCTCCGGCCGTTATTATGTACGTCCGTTTCAGGGTCAGACTTGTCTGTAAACAAAACATTGTATAGTACCTACTTATACGAATCATATACGCTAATTTTATATTTTATAATGTATTCAAATAAAAATAAATGTATAGTATCATTGTCACGTTGAAAATGGTCTGTATTGTTGATTCAAGCCCAGATTCAGAAGAGGCAACTTAAAATTATACAAAGTAATCGTCCATAATTTTTTGTTGTTAAAAAATCATTAAAAATTCTTACAATTGAATATAATTGTAATGACAACTAAAAACGAAATAAATTAAAATTAATAAAAAAAACAACTGAATTTTATTAAAAATAATTTTTCAGTTTTCTGTGAACATACTATTTTGACATCAAAAATAAAATTTGAACACTTTTTTTACAATATCCACTATAGCATATCTCGCATAGTAGCATCCCTAACGACATAAGGTTAATTTTATGCAAGTATTGGGGATACCGGATTACTCAAATCCAAACTTGTGTGCAGTTGTTATTATGTATAGTATACGCCATACGGTAAGTCTGTAATACGTACTTCGCATTTGTGCGGGATGAAACCGGTGATTATACCCCAAACGATGCCTACACAGATTCCGATGGCTACTTCGATGGGTCCTCGCATGGCATTCGTCTGCCAACTACCTGAATGGAAAGGAAAAACCAAACAAACACCAAATTAACAACGATTGTCCAGCGAGCCTGCACTACGCAGTAATAATGCACGCATGTATATACGTCATACCCTCAGAAAATATGATACTGAGAAACACTCCGAATGCGGAAATGCAAAATATGTCGTCGAAACTGCATGCGGCCATCACCAGTGTTATGATCCCTTTATCCTCGCCTAGACCCTTTTGTTTGAAGTCCAACAGTGCTGGAAGGATAACCGCCGAGCTCACCGGACTCAAAATGGACCTGTGGGCCGAAGAGTTGAGTTGGTTGGATTTTTTGTTGGCAAAAATTAACATCACAAATAAAATTTAAAAACAGCAGCCAACAATCGCGTGTTTATTTACTTGTGCATTATTATACGAATAATATTATACCAGTAAGACTTACTGCCTCATATAAGTATTATATTATATAAATGAGCGTTTTTACCCGAGTAATAGTCCCCAGATCCACGGCAGTCCAAGTAGGTAGTGCGTAACCACGGCTGCGGCAATCGTTTCGGTTATGCACGGCAGTATGGCCAGTTGTGTGACGACGAGACTGAGCTTTTTCAACATGGCTGGGTCAAGGCTGAGACCGGAAGCCACCAACAACACAGTGAGCGCCACTTCCCTGCAATGGCAACAATACAACCCCGACCGGAGACGGGCCAGTTAGGATAACGACGACAAAGACTATATACTATAACGTGACATTATTTCGAACTACACTTGAAAATAAAAATCTAATATTTGAATAGGGGATTTTTCAATGTTTTTAAGTAGTTTTAGAGTATGTTGATTGTTTTTGATTTCAAAATTTCAAAGACCCAAGAAGAATATATATTTTATGCATAAAAATTTCAAAATCTTGCATAGATACCACAGTACCACACATTTCATGGAGTAGGTATTATAAATATAACTGTCCAATATATTACTACTTCACTCATATTTTCTAAATATTAAAATGCAAATGCTTGTAAAAAAAAAAATTATTGCTCAAATTGTCGATGCTTTTAGTGACAATTGTATATCATAATTTTCATTAAATTAGTATTCTGCTTCAAATAAAGAAATGAAAAATATAAGTTTGTTTCACCAACGTACCTTCATATAATGATAAAATTTCTTTTAAAGGTAAATAAATAATTTAATATTTTTTGAAATAATACATCGCTAAAAACCGTATCTTTTAATAGTTAATATAAATTAGTTACCTATATCTGATTTTTAAAAAAGAAAATGCTACGAGTGGGATGAGGCTTTTTATGGCTGCATCACACATAACAATATGAGTAAGTGTCAGTGACGTAATCATGATGCCATGATGGGGAAAGATCTACTGGATACAAAGCTTTATAGAGCCAAGACTGGTATAAATCTACATTATTACGACGACTACAACAGACGACGCTATTATTTTTTAATATAGTTCCATAATATTACTTATATAAATAGTAATTGTTTTTACTCTGAATAAAGTATAATCATTGGCGCAACTAGACATTTGAACTAGGGGTTGCTTAAGCTCCAGTTTTTTTTGGGATTCAATGAGACCTAACACCTAAAGATTTTTCAGGGGGTGCTAATTTTGACTTAGGGGTGCTAAGGACCCAAAGCACCCCCCCTAGTTGCGCCAATGAGTATAATTATATTTATCTTAAACAATTTTTTTTTATTAGTAATATAATTTTATCTTATGGTAAAATGTTGATCCCCTCTCCATATGGCGTTTCCCTGATTACGCCACTGTTAAGTATTGGCGCAGGCACGCATGTATCGAACATTATAGCATAATATAATATAATATTATTATAGGTCGCCTTGCAACAAAATCGGACCTTAAATTAATGATATACGGCTGGAAGACGTTTTGATCCACGTCGTAGTGACCGGAATTGCGGAGGACAAGTCCGGCAAGCAGCATGCCGAGTAGTGGCGGCAGGTACATCATGTCTGCGATCTTGCCACATGCCCACGAGCACGAGATGAGCAACACGACCGAGGCCAGGTCAGAGCCAGGGGTCATGCCGAAGAAGAAATACATCAAGCCCCACGTCATCACCACGCACGCGACCGACGTGACGGCGTTGAACAAAGGATGGATCTTGCATGTCCACGAAGAAGTCGCCGGGCCGCTGAAATAACGAGCAAAATATTATATAAAATATACGTATTATACAGAGTGTAATGGGAAGACGTGACAAAAAAAAAAAAAAACGACTCTACTTAAACGCATTACAAAAATTGTGAAAACTATATGGATAATTTAAGGAATATACTCATGACAGGAAATTCTCGAAAATAATATTTAGAAAAAAAGTTTTTACGTTCTAAATTAGTTTTTTTAAAAAAATATTGATATTTAAAAATTTGAAAAAATAAACTACTTGATTTATATAAAATATGTTTTTACCATCTAAATTGTCATTAAAATCAAATTTAAAAATAGGCTATTTTGAATTTTTCCAAAAAAAATCAAATTAAATTATAAGCTTTTATTTTCAGTATTGTGTGCACTACATTCAGGTAGTATAGTGACTATAAATTACTATACATAAAAAAATTTGAATATTATTGATAAGAACAAAATTGTTTCATCTGTCAGATCTTACTGAATAAAACGATTTTCATGTATGTCAGTGGTGTCGTGTAAATTCAGGGGTGGATTTTAAAAACTGCCTCCACACCAGGGAAATATGTTTTTGGTGCCCCCTCCCCCAAAAGCTGTTATTCTTTCTCTCCCAATAGCTTAATCTTATGATAAAGAATACAAATAATTAGGTATTATTTGGTTGCTTTTTCATAATCACTTAATTATTTATTTTTAAACGTGTAAATGTTATTGTAAATATAATATTTAAAAAAAACTAAATTTACCTCTTTAATGTCCTAAACATGATGTACCTATTGGGCTATTATTTATTACTGTGAAACAAAGTATAATGGAACGCAATTTTAAGGTTTTAACTGTTACCTATATACTTCTAACTACGAACAATTTTTTTTATCATGTAATACCCATGATTTTGACCTAGAGCCTGAATTAGGGTATCTAATATAATGATACATTTATGTAATATTTCAAAATCAAATAAATCAAATTTGTACTCAATTATCGTAGTATCCATGTAAACAACCGTCGAATTTTCAGATTATTTCATTGGAATTCTTTATTTTAACGGACTTATAATATTATAACTACTAACATATTAACAACTAACGCGTAGGTAGGTACTTCAAGTAATGTTATAATGCAAGAGATCGATTATCACTGTTTAATATCAGACGGTTATACATATTTAATATTTATATTTATAAAAAAAATTGCAATCATATACCTACCTACTAATATGAAAACAATAGTTTTTAGAATCATCTTTATATTTTCGGTTGTCTAGGATTCTCATATAAACATACACAAACAGTCACATAGATACATGTATGATACTATAATAATATATCCAAGTGAAGATTCTTATGTTTTTACTACGATGTAAAAACATTTTCTACATTTTTTTAATATTTATTTTAGAACACGTCTTGATATCCCGTTGTATCAATCCATCCGTTAGTTACCAGTACATAATTTTTATAGTTACGTTTGTTGATATTAAGATTTAAGATATTTATTATTTATTGTCCGTAATAATTACTGGACAGTGTACATAGTTAGGTGTACGGAATTATAGTTTATTGTGTGGTATTAAAATACATTTAGAAACCGAGAATTTAGTATGCTCTCGAGTGAGCTTTCCTAACTTGTTCAATTTTTATCTACACTGCGGTTTTACATAGGTAGGTATTATAATATATCTTTAATTTGAATGGATGACGGGGTTAGAATAGTAGGTATGTGGACAAATTTTCTACGAAGAACGTACAGAAGAATAATTAATGTCGTATATTAAAGTATATTTTATAGTTGACGGCCTATATTTTCAAGTAATATTGTCGTATTTGATATTATTTTAAAAAAAAACATATGTTTTGTTCTGTGAAACTACTTTACATTCTGAGCGGGGCGACGAATGTATTGATTTTGCAATAATGATAAATGATAATGTGACTGAAGATACTTTATACAGTATGTTAATTAATTGAAAAGTCAGTAGCCCTAGTTTAAAATATAATGCATATTATATTCAAATTTCAAGTGCAGGTTTTTTTTAAATTTAAGTACCTATTATAATAGACTATTATAGCCTCGCTTTTACCATGGTTTGAAAAAAAATTCAATAAACCACTTATTATCTTTTAATGGTTTTTTTTAAGACTCCAAAAGTAGCCATGTTATATAGATATATTTGTTTATAATATGGAGAAAAATGTTTTGAGTGAATGTAAGCAACTTATATTTTCATAAATGCAGCATAATATTGCAGTAAAATTATATGGTTTTCAGTTTTTCAAACATAAAACTATAATGCTATTTGCTAATACAGTAGGTAATAAAAAACCACACTTCTCGTTGAAACTGTATGTAATCATTTTTATTTGTTTTATAATATTGTTCAATATATCCAAAATAAACTGTTACCTATGCACAATTAATTTTTATAGGACAATAATTTTTGTAATAAAATTAGAGCTATAATTAAAAAATGTGCGAGATATTCCCAGTGACACGTACATTTTGTTCCAAAGATAAAATTTACTTATGCATAGTTTACAATATTTATAATATAATATATTGTATAATAATCATGATGGATAGATTGAACAATATTAAAAGACAAATAAAAAATATCGCATACAATTTCAACTATAGTAGTGTGTTACTGTGTTCTTTATTAGGTACCTGTTGTGGATTAGTATTTATAGTTATTAAAGTGTGAAAAACTGAAAACCATATAGGTAATTGTACAGCAATAATATGCTGTATTTTTGAGTACATTAGTTTACCATAATTCATTCGAAATATCTTTTACTCCATATTATAAATAAATAACTACAAAATAACTATTATCACATTTTTAAAAAGTTTTTTTAATAAATCAAAAATAAATCTAGAGTGTTTTTTGAAAATTTTTTCCGTGGTTTAAAACTATTGGTCATACTATATTAAATTAAAAATAAACTGCAAAAGAACATCTGAATTATATTTTGAATTAGAGATACTGATTTTCCAATTAATTAACATAGCTACTGTACAAGCTTTAAAGCTTATATTTTGACAACATTTTGAAATTATTTTGTTGTTATTAACACATGGAATTATTGACTTTATCTAAGGATTGAAAATGTCAAGATTTTTGTTGCATAATTTATTATATACCTATTAATAAAGTGAAGTTAATGAAGACTGAACACAATACTATAGGTACCGTCTATATTATTTGTAATTTGATATAAATATGTTAATTGTTGAAAAAATATACTTTCTATCATTTATACTATAATTATTTATTTATTTATTATTAATTAACGCCTGTTAGGGCAATTTTAACAAAGGTAAAGTAATTTTTGAAACACTATTATTACATTTTTTTTTTTTTAGACAATTTGTTTAGAAATAATTCACAGAATAAAGTATAATTAGGATTGTAGCAGTGTTGGTAACTAGAACTAACCTACGAAAAGGTGGTAGACTCATTTGCCAGACGCATTAGCCTGTCCATGGGGCGATTGCGACTATAATTGGAGGTACGAAAGGGGATGACAAATGGAGCAGTATAAACTATATCACATTGTATGATAAATAATAGTAACTATAGGTACTTACCTACTTATAGTCAATAGGTATTAGGTACTTACCCTTTTATTATTCCATCATCTCCACTTGTCATCGTTAGGTAATTGATTTGGCCACTTCCTTAAATTTAATAAATAAATAATTTAGTTTTATGATGATAAAGAACATCATACAAGATTTTGTATGATACAAGGCTGCGAGACGTGTATACAAATAGGTACAAATACATGCATGTGTAATGTGCATTTGTGTCGTACGAGTTTAACATAACATCAATAATTCGTAGGTACATGGCACACGCTGATCATCACAACCAATAAAATAAAAAACTATGAAGAGTAATATTAGAACTTGGAGCATATAAATATTTCATTAAAATATATATTAAGAACAATATTTTCGGGTGTAAATCATGTCTTATTTTTACTATACTAAACGATAATTGTACAGACTTGCCACTCACGACTCACCAAGTCATCAACCATTATAAGTAAGAAGTACCTATTAATATTGGTTTACATTTGCACTCGAATAACGTGTGCTTGCTTTACTACCCTTGAGAAAGAAGAACATCATAACAACATGGATTCATCTTAAACAATTCTTATTTCTTTCAACTAATAGGTACTAATTACAAAAGCTATCAACACGAACCGGAATACAAGTTATTATTCGTGTTTGATTTTTTATCAATTATATTATATTATAATATTATATGTATTTAGTTTATAGATAGTATTGGTGAACATATATACAATATAATATGCTGTACAAAAATCATTCAAGAAATTTCATACAGCTTACGGACATAGGTAATACTACATAGTAGGTACACAGTATATATAATATATAATGCTTAAGATAATATAATTTACTATAATATTGTAAAAGTACCATGTGTTGTAGGGTCTGCACTTATGGGAGAATCACTTAGGGGAATTCATATATTATGCTCAATGTATTTTCCAACTGGCAATAAGATACTTAAAAAACTAAACAATGAGTAAAACATAATCTATACAAAACATGCATACCTGTAAAATATATTAGGTATATACTAAATATAAAAACTCAAATTTAAAAATAAAATAAAAAAGATTATAGTTTGTAATTTTCAGTTTTTTTTTTTTTTTAATTTAAGAATGTATATTATATCTAAATATTTTATAACTAGATTTAAAGATTTCATACATTGTTTTTATTTAAAATTATAAACATCATGTAATAAATACTGTATTTTTTTCAATACAATATTTTTGTTACTAGGTACTAGCAAGTACCTATGTAGTTAAGATTATACACAAAATACAAACCATCAATAGTACCTAAACATAATTAAATAGTCCCAAATAGTAGGTAGGTATATACCTAAGTATTTCTGAAGGGAAGTTAACCAAAAGATTACCTACTTATACCTAATTGGAAACTGAAAGTATATTGAAGTTTTAGAATAAGATTAAATATTCTGTTAGGTATTATAAGATTGAAATAATGCTGAATAAGAAATCATCCTTATTTTAATTAGTTTTGTTAACTTTTGCTAATTTTTGTATTTTTTAAAAAGTTTTCTACGTATTTAAATTTTAAGTAAATCTTAAGTATATTAATAAATTGTATATAGTGTACACATTTAAAAAGTTAATTACATATTGTTTATAATAGTGTTTGGGGTAGACGACTGTTCGTCAGTGGCTTAGATATATAGGGAGTGGGCCTAGTGGGCTGCAGCCCCACACCCCGAAATTACAGTTTTTTTAAATAGAACAACAATATATTTTATTAGGTACTATTATAAGTTATAATATTTCATAGCCTGTTGAATAATAACAAATACGAATATGTTTATAGAAACTGTTAAATATATAGTAGAAAGTAGCTTCTAAGTAATAGATCACTTGCTAGTTTCTATCGACAATAGCCCACCCCATAAAATAATTTCTATATACTTCGCTGCTGTTCGTGTATCATTACGTTAAATGCCAATAAAAAGTTATAACTACAAGAGCGTATTTACTTATTTCTATTAAAAAAAATTACATATAGGTTGCCCATACAATATTAGGTACATATTTTACTAAACATACCTTGTTTGTTCGAGTATTGAACTATCTATTGAACTAATATAATAGGTATATTATAATGTTTGACCTTATTGGTTAAGTTTATGTAAATTAAAATCAACAAGATTACTGTAATAAACTTTAAACTGTTTGCTAATTAAAAAAAAGACATATATTTGTTATAATATAAGTTTTATTTTTAAAACTACCTATATCAGAAAATAATTTATTATTATGTATGGACCACTTTAAATAAAGTTTTAAATTTAAATTTGTCCGACTAAAACATTCATTAATGTACCACATCACAAAACATACTATGAAGCTATATTAACTATTAAGTATCTAAACAATATTGATAGTTAGAGAATAATATGATACAGTGACACTATTTTATTACCTACTTTATAATTAAATGTATAATTCCCACTTCCCGGGTGTAATACACGTAGTGAACACTGAACAAACTATCATACTAATTTATAAAGTAGATTATAAATGAACATTATGTACATGAATATTTTGTCAACGATTTGTCTGAAATCTGGGAGATTTTTTAGGTTGATTTACTCGACTTTAAAACACAATATTCTACCCAAGAACACATGACAAAAAAAAATTTAACAATGTGTTTTAAAATTTTTTATATTAACATCAAATTTAAATTCAATTAAAAGCAGTTGTTTTATTAAGTACAGCGAATAGAAAAAACGTGTTCGATTTTCCAGCATCAACAAATTACGATAATATCTAACATCAAACATCGACAAATGGATAAAATAAGTAATAACTCTTAACTTATTAATATTGAGTTGAAATAAATTAACATAATATGTTAATATTATTATTTTTATTTTTATATTGTTTAATAAAAGGTATGAATAACAATTGTTGATCTATGTTGTCTTCAGTTGTAAGTTGTAACTCACCTTTGAATCGGTAGTTAATTAAATGTAAATTAAATTACTATACCTATAACGGAATTCAACTGAATATTTTTATCTAACGAAAAATGATACCTAGTTAAATATTTTAACTTGACAGCTCAACAACTAACATAATATCATGTATTAATTAAAATGAAACTAGATGTGAATATGTTTTTTTTAAGTGACGCACCAATTATTTTCGTAGTAGCGTATACTAGTTAAGATGTATTATGATATCTTACATGGGATGTCGAAGGGTATCATACTATAAATATTATTTAATAATTCTCCATAAAATATTGCTGTACAAATAATTGTTTGTAGATTATATGAAGGCTTTCTGCAGCTGTATACGTACTGGCGTCAATAATTATTAACATGATTTTTAAGACATATTTCAATGCCATTTCTTAAAATATATTATTTAAACTCATTATTGTTAAATTATAGACAATTTATTTATTATAGGTATGCATATAGTTACTGTATACATTATTATGAGTTTACATTTGAAAAGTCCCGTACAAACATAAAAGACATACCTAATAATCAATTACCTACTTAAATAGTTTGATTAAGTGATTTATCTTAATATTTGTCATCGTTAATTAAAATTGTATGACTATAAGTTTGCGCATATAATAATATACATAATTTAATATCAAAATTTGCATAATATAAACAACGGTATCAGAAATGATTTCGAACTGAGAGAAGGACAGACGAAATCAAAATTAACATATTGTAATGAAATAAAAATAATAAACAAGGGCAATGTATTTCTTTTACTATCACTATACTGATAACTGATATAACTATATAAGTAAAACTAATAAAACAAGGTGGTTATCAAATAATAGTTTAAAAAAAAATATAATTTATACTCCAGCCAAAAACAGTCCATCATAATATTTTTCATTTGACACGACGATACAAAAAGGTTCGTCATACATGGTCTACAGGGAATAATTGTTGGGAGAGATGTGTGAACAGAGGTGGCTTTGTAGTTCGTACACGAGTACCTGCACTATTTTATATCTAGCATTATGTTTTGAATTAAAAATTAACCAATACCAAGAATTGATAATTATTTAATTAAATAATATTCATATAGTATATTTATCTATTATTATTTTTCATTACTTAAATTTTAAATATCTCATCTATTAATATATACTATTAAGCTATACATCCACTATTTGGCACTTCAGTTTATTGATACTTCGGGTCTCAAATTATTATTTTATAAATCATATTCTCAACAACAAAATAATTATTAGTTAAATTAAATGTGTCACTATAATATTATGCTATACATTTTCAGTAAACAACATAAATATTTTCCTTTATTAATATTAGGATTGAGCCATTTAAGACATAACTCTGTATTACGTCCAAACATGGAATATAATACCTACACAAGAGAAGAATCCGTATTATAACATAGGTACGCACACAGTGGATCATTATAGATAAAATTGGAGTAAGACCACTTATCATTAATAAAAAAGGTGGGCAAGTGAGTGTCGCTCTGCTGTACAGTAGGTTACAAGTGGGTCACTGTATAATGGATGATATTAAATTTGAATTCAACGATATAATATCATTGTATAAGAAAAACGATTCTGAGCGGAGACGGTATGTCAGTCTATGTATAAGACATATTATATACATATATATGGTATTAAACAAAAAATTGACCTATAATAAATTCCAAATTAATCATATCACAATATCCATTAGGTACTGGTAACGCGTTATACATCAACAAAAACCGTAATACTATCATAGATATATAATAGTACACTTTAGAAGTTTCAAGTACCCACGAATAATATTATTCAATCACAACAAAATAACTAAAATAGTTATTCTAGGTTTTTTAATATGTAATTTCGTCCAAATTTCAATTTAAAATGTCTGTAAAAATTAACTGTGTTCATATATTTTTTAGATTTTTTGGTTACAGTATGAACTATTTACGAGAACCTTTGTGTTGAATTTGCAATCCTTAGCTATAAAAACTGAACATTTTATAATTTATTAATTACAATGATTGATAATTTTCGAGATTTTGATAAATTTTGTCAAAATTTGATCTTTAAATGCTTATAAAAAAAAACTGTGCCTA